TTTTGTTTAAATCGAATCGAAAACGGGTCGAAACCGAACGAAACTACAGTTTTTAATGGTTTTTCTATTCTACTAAGTGGCATACGATACAATTGTACAATTACAATTACCAACTTAGTAGAATAGGCTAGTTGCCAACATTTTTTTTATTTCCTAAATAAATAGTCCATTAACATTTGAGAAATAATGTAGAAGTAACAGCATGTCTGCGATTAATAGTTTCGGAGATACGTTGCTGTGTTTGTAGAACTGCTGCTAGTTGGCCGAAAACGCTCCCTACAAATTCAAGGCACTCAGTGACGTCACACGGTGCTACAGTAGCGAAAAATGTATGGCCATCTGGACATTTTTGTAATATCTTTGTTATTTGTGCGTTTATGTTTATAGCTGTTATAATGAAAGTTGTAACATTTTTTATATCTAATTTAATGCCTTATGTATTTTAGCAAATTTATGTAGTAGATTTTCTCTACTTTTTTCAAGTTTTCAAAGCGTAATATTTTCCAAATCATTGACTTAAAATTTGTTTTGTTAAACGTTTAGAAGTTAAAATGGTTCATATTTGTCGAAGATATAACAAAAACCCGTATTTTGACTTGTAGGACACAAGCCTATTGTACGATTTAAACAAAATTTATTTAGCAGAATTGGCCCCAGATGTCCAATTCACTTCATAAAGCGGCATCATCTTTATCTTGAATTGGTAATAACGTTTCCGAGCATAAGTGAAGTATTTTTGGAAATAATATAGGGATAGAATATCTGAGACACGTATAATCAATACATTTTGTTTGGTATTTTGATATAAAAATGGAATCAATAGAATTTCTCTACTAAATGATGTGAATTCGGACACATGAATGAACTAGAATTCGGGTTCGGATTTTTCAGAATCACCCTGCAGGGCTTAAAAAAGGCTGATGATTATTTAATTACTTTAATTATTTTATTTCCATTTTTTTATATATCGCACACTTAGATCTAAACTAAGTCAACTCAAAAAACTAATGTATTCAGTTATATCACCTTTCAATCTCTTGTACTTTATTTATTGTAAAAGTAGCCTTTTAATACTTGCTTTCTTGTCTTTGTTGTATGTATTGTGCCCTTTATAGTATGCAAAATCGTAAGATTTGGCAAGAGATTCGAGGATCCCAACATATCCTGAATACCCTCGGGTGATTGCTAAGAAACAGCTTTGCGAACAGTTAGCAAATAATGCTTACGGTGCATACGATGACCGAACAACTACCCACATTATGCCTCGACTTCTTTGTAATTTATTGCCAGAAATATCTATATTTGAGTTAACGGTGTACTTTTTTGTTCGTTGTTAATCAATTGAGAATACTATTATAATCGTCTTTTATACTTCTTTGTTTGTTTTTGTGACATAAAAAAAGAAAAACATTTTCCAAACTTCGATAACACAAACCTCCGTAGTTTTTAGATGTTATAATGTCATCATCATCCCCAGACTATTAATGTATCCACTTCTGGTTAACAGATCTTAAACGAATAGGAAAAATGGACCACGATGACCCACCGTCCGTGTCCAATAAGTAGTTAACAACTGCAATTGCAACTGTGATTAATAGCTTAACGTGTCTTCTGAAGTACGGAGGGGCTCGAGATGAATTTTCACTCACCCATCTTATGACCGGATGTTGCGGAAGTTTTTTAATTCGATGGCATAGTATTAAGCGCGTTTGGTTATGTCATCGTACTCGATAACTATTTAAAAAAAGGAAATAAATTTATCAACAATCTCTTGAAATTATGTTGTATTTGATTAGTATTTATTTATTTATTTAGATAACCAACAACAATGTGTATTAGACTATGTATATTGGAAATTATAGATTAGGTTAATTAGTTGGCAGCAGTGTCTATTACGGAAAATAATATAACATATCGAATTTACCTTCAAAAGTACTTGAACAAAATATTTGTCTTGACTCTTCTCAGTTTTTCGTATGAAGATAACATTGTGAATATAAATAATAGTAATCGCACATATAATCACAATGGTAGATGTTAAAGGAGGCGAAAGACATAAATTGTAGAATCGTATGTACAAACATATGAACCATGGCACACCCGTACGCGCCGCATCGTTAAAATTCTTGTCACCATTTATTTGCAAAGAGTAAAAAATTTGGATCATCCGCTTTCTTCGGTTCTGATAAATATGCGATCACAATTTTTTTTTTATCTATTATCTATACTAATATTATGAACAGAAAAGAGTTGATTGTTTGTTTGTTTGCATCTCCGAAACTACTGGATCGATTTTAAAAAAATGTTCACCGACGGTTAGTTACATATGATGTTAACATAGACTATAATTTACGCAGGCGAAGTCGCGAAAGAACAGCTAGTATATAATAAAATCGATTACAGTTTATTTATCAAAGTTCGATTTATGAAATGAAATGAAAATATCTTTATTCAAGTAGGTTATTACAAGCACTTTTGAATCGTCCAAAAAAATTTTTTGCCCTTACCACTTGTTCAGGACGTCTTTTGGCTGACAAGAAGAACAAGCGAAAGAACCTTACCAGCTTTTTATCATAAGTAATGACATTTACATAAATCATGTCATTACCAAAATAATATGTATTATCACAATAATAAATACAACTTCCAAAGTCTGTAGGACATAGGTTGAACATATAATTAGTCTTTATAGAACAAAGCGAAGGCTATTAATTCCATGCATTGCGATCCTTAAAATAATCATCAACTTTATAATAGCCTTTACTCATAAGTATATTCTTTATATGAATTTGAAATTTATTTATGGGTATGGTCAATTACATTTAGTGAAACTTTATTGAACATAGCAGTACATTTACCCAGAAATGATCCTCTGATTTTTTGAAGTCTGAAGCTTGGAACGGCAAGTTTATTTTTATTTTTTGTGTTAAGATTATGAACACTACTTTTTTTGTGAAGGAATCGTAATGTTTTCTTGTGTACATAATATTCTCATAGATGTATTGAAAGGCAACAGTCAGAATACTTATTTCTTTAAATATTTCCCTATACCGTAAATTCCGGCCTATAGCACGGACAGCTCTCTTTTGTAGAATAAAAATATCCTGAATGCTAGCCGCAGAACCCCACAACAATATACCATACGTCATTACACTATGAAAATAACTAAAATATACCAATCTTGCCGTTTCAACATTTGTCAAGATTCTAATTTTCTTAACAGCAAAAGCTGCAGAACTCAGTCTACTTGACAAGCTATCAATATGAGGATCCCATTGCAGTCGGGAATCTAGTGTAATACCAAGGAACTTTGTCGATTCTACTAACTCAACTTTTTCACTATTTACATTTATAAGTGTACTGACATGCCTCACATTAGGTAATGCAAACTTTATGCATTTCGTTTTATTTGAATTGAGCTTTAAATTATTATTATCAAACCACTGTAGAACATTGTCGAGAGCATTATTTACATCGTCAAAACAATCATTACCCCTCTCAACTTTAAACAGTAAAGAGGTGTCATCTGCAAATAATACTGTCTCGCACAAATTCTTCATAAGCGTAGTTACTATAAAAAACGCAAAGCGAACTCGCGGCATATTTGACAAATAAAAAACTTATCGATATTACTGATAAGTGAATATTTATCGTTGAACTATCTTTATTCGCGATTAGTCTTTCCGTGTACTAACAGTTTACATACACAGCTGAAATACACAAAATGTCGGAAAGTGAAGCTGATGCTAAGCATTATGATGCCAAACCTTCAAGGTAAGATCTAAAATTGTTTTACACTTTAACGGATTTTATGTTATTCACCATATTAACCGACGCAAACTTTCTAAAATATTGGCATTATTTTATTTAGTTTATTAGCAAATAAAATATAGAAGTCTTCAGCGAATGAATTAACATTAATCTGTTTATGTAAGTAGTTTATCCGTAGATACTCTAATTTAATACTTTTAATATGTATGTACTCGTATATATACATATAATCTGAATCTCGGAAACGGCTCTAACGAGTTTTATAAAAGTTAGCATACAGGCAGTTTCGGGGGCGATAAATCGATCTTGCTAGGTTTCAATTTTAGAAAACCACCAAAAACATACCCAGCATAGCTCTTATCCAGGTACTAAATGTAACTATATGTCAGTTATATTTAGGCAGGTTTTAATTCAATACTAACTTTCGCCGGCGGCTTCGCCCGCGTGGTCCTTCGGGAAATATTTAGTGGGATAAAATTTTTATTACATATCTAAGTCAGCTAATACCATATATGTATACCAAATTTCATCAAAATCCGTTGAGTAGTTTCGGCGCGATTGGCGGAAAAACATACAAATAAAGAAATTTAACATTTGTAATGTTAACAGGTAAGAAAATAAACAGTTTTGTGTTGTCTCGGTATTTAGTATTTTTAATTCCACAAAGAAATTAAAATACATTTTTTTTTATTTAAAGTATTGAGCAACAATATTTTAGGTCAAACTTACTCTTATGACATCGGTAAATAAGAAACTGTCGTTACTTATAAATTCTTCACAATGTATTAGTAACTGTAGGGAAGTGTATTTTCTTAATTTCTAAAACACCCTAATAGAGAAGATGCTTGGGTTGTCAAAAAAGAACAAAGGAATATACTTACATAACAATAAACGTATTTTTGCGTCAATTTAACAAGATATGTATTAAACAATAGGTTAAGGAGTGTCGGCTAGCTACGTCACAAGTATAAAGAAATACACAATAATACATTTCAGCTTAATGTGTCGCGGTAATATATTGAATACGCAAAAAAAAGTGTTTAATATTTTACCCGAACGGACAGACGGACAAAAATTAGTCATCATAGATAGATAGATAAATTGTTTATTCAGACAACAACACACAACTACATCACAAACTTATACAATACAAAGAACAGTCAAGAACAGAATACATAATGATATAAGTGATATACCTATGTGCAGCATTAAGATAAGGGTCAAGGCTCGGTGCACGTAAATCACCCAAGATAGGATGAAGCACCGATTTCATGGCTATCATCGCTTTTTATACTATACAGCTTTCATGAAAACTATTTCCAATTTCAGTTCCAGTGGCGATGCCGCCGCCGAAGGAAGTACCAGTCAGACAAAGAAACAACCAAAATTTGATCCCTCTGCGTTATACTATGACATGAGCGGAGACAAGTTCTTGGTTATTTTCAACCATTATGAATATCAAAAGACGCGTTATTTCAAGTGAGTGTTGTTTATAAATAAAATATACTAAATGCGAAATTGTCTGTTTGTTTAGTAGGAAATCGTAGTAGGCAAAATGAGAAATTGACCGTTTAATAAGTAGACCCGTTGCATCTGAGCGATATTTGTACACTTATTGATTTTTATTATTGAAGTTAATATTATCTTTATTTTATTTACAGGGATAAGCGTCCGTCAACTAGGAAAGGTACAGACGTAGATGTAAAAGTTCTCAAAGAATTATTTGGAAGACTTGGCTTTAAAATATTTACATATACAGACAAAGAATATGATGACATCATCGAATTAATGACTGAAAGTAAGCAATTCATATGTTTCTATCTATACTAATATTATAAAGCTGAAGAGTTTGTTTGTTTGTTTGAACGCGCTAATCTCAGGAACAACTGATTCGAATTGAAAAAATATGTTTGTGTTAAATAGACCATTTATCGAAAAAGGCTTTAGGCTATATATGCAACTATTAGGGGCGAAGCAATAATGGAAAACACGGACAAAGTCGCTGACGGCCACTAGTTCTATATATATATAAAAGGTCAGTTAATCACTCACTCATCACTTAATCTTAAACGACGTAGTTGCTCACTAAGACGCGATTTTACAAAATTCGACCCCTAAGGGGATATATTAAGGGATGAAAGTTTTTATGGAATTTTCTCAATTCTTGACTTAAAACTAGATCACGCATGCGAAAAAGTTATAAGATGTTATAATTACATTTGTTATAAGAGAATGGAATGATCTATAATACAAGGAATGTTCGAAGAGAATGATGTGTGAGGTTCTTTGCGGCACTCGGTTTAATCAGCCAACCAGGGTTGGTCTCAGATTGGCAGACTGATCCTGATTGATTTGCTAACAGTTGATCTGTTAACCTGACGTATCATTCAGACTTTACTTTGTTAGATAAAGCAGAATTGAGCTTTAGTTACCGCTGGCAGGAAAGAATATTAGATAGGAATTAAAAGGCTTAAATTTATATAGATGGAAATAACGCCTGCTAGCAGCTATATAAAGATCGTAACATATAAAAACGGCCTAAGCAGCACGACATTGTGTCTAATTTTGAATACCTCGAGGCAAGGCACATGTCGTGTACCACAAGTTGCAAACTACTGCCATTGGCACCGATTAGCTTAGTGGGCTGCATAGTGCATGGGCCTGTACCTAATAACTTGAAGTTGACAGCCCGCCGTTGACGTTTTTATATTGACATTATGCAATATAATATAACACATACGACTAATTAGACAAATAGATGTAAAGTTAGTTGCTGGATTAGAGCCTAGATTTTTAGAAGTACTTAAAAAATTTACAGTGGTAATACTGTTAGATGAGCACAAATACGTTAATATTGTTAATAATAACGCCGTCTTTCATATTTCAGTTGCGAATATGGACCACTCTAAAACATCATGCTTGGTAGTGGTCATATTGACGCATGGTGACAAGAAAGGAGTAGTGTATGCTGCTGACCGAGGGTATCTTCTTAAAGACGTCACCAGTCTTCTAGAGACCGGCGATATAGGATTAGTCAACAAACCCAAGATATTCTTTGTACAAGTAATTATAGGAAAATATTAATTTCGTATTAATAACTTTTTACCAACAAAGGAAGGGTTATGATTATGAGTCACACGTATGTTTTATGTATGTAATATTCTTTATTACCTCATATCTTCAGAACCGCTAAACGGATTTAGATAATCGAGGTAGCGTTAAATTTGTCTTAGTAGCCCAAGTGTTCTTAGGTAACGTTAAAAAAGCAATAAGGCGGCTGTGTGACGCCATTATGTTTTATGAAATTAATTTTTCTTCCTTTCGAATACCGCGATATGGGTATATCATGATTATAATTACCGTAATACTAATAAAAAAACTGACCGTTAAAATTCTTTTTTGTCTAAACTTTTGCGATAGTCACATGTGCTGTGGATTATATGTAACTATTCAATCAATAATATTTCCTTTCAGGCTTGTAGAGGAGATAAAGTCGATGAAGGCCGAACTGTGCGATACGACGGAGAAGAGACGCTTGTTGTGCCATCGCACGTAGACTTTTTGTTAATGCAGTCTTCAGTAGATGGTAATATTTGAAACAAAAGAGTAGTAGCTCGGTGGCGTAGTGGATAAGCGCCGCGGCCCGCGATCGTAATCGTTAAGCAACTTTCGCAAGAGTCGGTCACGGGATGGGTGACCAAAAATTATTATCTCGAGCTACTCCGTGCTTCGGAAGGCACGTTAAGCCGTTGGTCCCGGCTGCATTTGCAGTCGTTAATACCCTCCAATCCGCATTGGGCCAGCGTGGAGTGTCATGGCCCATCCTCCTTAACCATCCATAAGGAAGGCCTGAGCCCCTGCAGTGGGGACGTAAAAGGGCTGGTGATGATGGTGATGATGAAACATAAATTATATCTTATGATACTGTCTCATTAAAAAGAGTTTATGTCACGAGTGCGGAATAATATTCTCAGTACTTCTCTGTGAGGTTAGGGCTAGAACTAATTCTCGAGCTGTTCCATAATACCAAACATTAATATACAATATCTATGGTGAGACCATGTAATCAGCTGTGTTGGTATTGATAATCCTTTCTATATTATTTTGATTTGAATTATTGTGGTACATATATTTGTCATTCAGATTCCTATGTTGTCTAATTTTAATTATTCATTTAATTAAATGTGATATTAGAGCAAAATCTATTGATCTTGTCTAGTATTTATATAGTACTAGCTTTCCGCCAGCGGCTTGGCCCGCGTGGTATTGTATTATACATAAAAACCTTCCTTTTCAATCACCCTATCTATGAAAAAGCCGCATTAAAATCTGTTGCGTATGTTTAAAGATTTAAGGACAGACAGGACAGACAGATATAGGGACAGAGAAAGCGACTTTGTTTTAAACTATGTAGTGATGTGATCGATCAGTCACGATTGACTTATATTACGTATCGTTTCCTTGTAATACCAAATCGATTATGAACGTAGAATGTTTACATTTCAGACTATTTGTCTTGGAGAGATCTCGGCGGTTCCTGGATGATACAAGAACTGTGCGAAGTTATCGACGACCACCATAGAAGTTACGACCTTCTGCAATTAATCACAATCACAACCAGGAACGTAGCTTACAAGCGAGCGTCGTATACGCCATCTAATAAAAGCACTCATAACAAAAAGCAAACACCCGAAACGTGTTTTACGTTGACAAAATTATTGAAATTCTAAATGTTTTTATTGTGAATACAGTTGTTTCGTTTGCTTACAAACTATTTTAATTACATTCTGTTTGTGCGACGAATTTGCTTTTAAGATTCAATTGATTCCTGTCCGCTTCTAAATATGCATTAAATATAAAATCTGAAATTGTTTTTGTTTCAATTAAATACCGCCAGCAAAGTTTTTGATTTTTTACCTCGATTATACATGTGCAGTGTGCGCCATATTGGATTTAGTTTCGTGTTCTTTTTTTTTTATTTGGTTAAAATATCTACATATGTTATATATGGTATATTCTCGTGTATTACTTCTCTCGACTATAAATACGAAAGGTACAACTGGTTCTGTTCATTTTACTAATTCCAAAAAGTTGTATATAGAATCAAAGAGTACAACAGACCTTTTATAAAATCTATTTACATAATAAAAGTTGGTCGTGAACAGTTTCAATGAAACGCAATCGAAAACTAGTAATGACAATTGTCCACATAGACGTATATATACTTAAATAAATAATAATACTTCACGTACTACAGGTCATTGAGTTAATTACAAAATGTAGTATTATCAGAATTATGTTACCGTTTTAATGAGTTTTCCGCGTATACGCTCGAGATTAAAAGTCGTTGCTGCCATCTTGACACGTTACCCTCCACACTGTATCAGAGTGGTAAGTGTAAGTTTTACGCGTTCACTAGTGAGCGCGTTAAGAATTTGTATGGAGATTTGTAGTTCTTGATAGTTACCGCTAGGGGCGCTGTGCCGAATTCCATACTAAAATCTTAACGCGCTCACGATCGACAGTGAACGTAAACGTCAAAAAAACTTACACTAAGCGCTCAGAGATTTACAGATTGTTAACCTCGGTGTCTACTCACTTAGGCGATTAATTAAAAAAAAAAGATGCTTTAAAAGTAAATACCTACCTATATTTAGTATAATTTAGAAAAAAATATAAATCGATGAATTTATTTCGACGATGTAGAATACCGAATATAAATATATAATACTGTCTGTCAGTAAATTGCTTACTTAACATAATTACAAAATAACTATATATCAGGTAGATTCCAGAATGTCCATATCATTAACATAAATTTAATCTTACATTTAAAATGAATATAAGACAAGGACAGAAATATTTCGACTTATGACGCCATAAGCTAATAAGCGCTGCATGATACCGACAAAGATCAAAAGCGTTCCTATTCAAAACGCTCGCGATTGTTTTCCTTATTAAATTCAAATATTTTTAGCATTGTAGTGATTGAAGTGGGATGAAGCTAATGGACAATCATATAACGTTATCTCATTTAGGGCTCATTTTTTATTACTTGGAGATTGTAAGATTTGAGATAATAATAAAAATAAAATCTCTGATAATTTTCTTGGCGGAATAATCGCAGTGTTTAAAGTAACAAAAGTGACATATGTCAATTATATTCAAAATATATTTTTCAAATAGTGTCAGTTTTACACTAATGATCAAATTGTCAATAGACCCTAAGGAGATTTAACACAAGTAATGACCAGGGCTTGAAACCGGTTCCGGTTTATTTGCTTGGTTCGTAAAAAGCAATGTTCCTAAGTTTTGCATGTACTTACGTCGAACCGGTTCAAAAAATTAAAAGGTTTCCAGGCCCTGGTAATGACTACCATCCGTAGCCGAATGGTTTCAAGGTGTCGCCATTACTGAGGTCCCAGGTTCAATTTCCGGTCGGGTCAATGTAGAAAACTGGCTTTTCTATAATATCTCTGGGCGTTGTGGTACTTTCCTTGTCTCAGATACTGTAATACGAAGTTTTAGCTACACATCTTGGAATCTGAGCTGTATGTGGTATAGCCAAATATTTATAGCATCAAGGCATAGCTTTAGCCATGACTCAGTGTACACATACCATAGACGTGCTGAACATCGCACGGTTAAGTAGTCTGTTATTAATCCACGTCGCGACGTCGCAAAATTTGACGAGCCGTTACGTTCTGGAGCAAATTGAAATATCGACGTATGCCACCAAATGCCCGCCGATGCAGACTAAGATATTTTCAAAGAGAATATTTTGACTGCCACCAACATAGCGGGAGAAGTTAATTTTTCGACTAAATATGCTACAGAAATTCCTAGAGTTTAGATTTTTTTTATGCGCTAGACTAAGGGCCAGTTTCACCGGTTACTGATAAAGTTTCAGATAGTTATCTGATAGTTAACGCTATCTACTGGATAAAGGTTGCTGTTAACTTTTTTCTGTTTCACCATCAAACTGCTAGATAATTTATCTGGCAGATAAGTTATCGGCCACTTATTGACGGAACGGCAACGTCGCTTTTTTGCGTTTCAATACTACGACCCAAATTATCGTCAAACAAAAATCATTTTTAAAACTTAATTAATATTTTTTTTTGTGTTCAATATTATTTAAGTAAACTTTTTTCACATATTTTGAATTATAATTTTATGATTCTAGAATGAAAATAATACGATATTCGTATACTTATCTACGTGTTTACAGAAACGAAACGCAACTATCATTTGTTTTGCTTTGTTGATATTTTGTGCTGAACTTTTCAATTTTTACTATATCTGATGTTAAATTAGTTACTTGAGGTTAACTGATTTCATATTTTAAACGAAACGATTTAAAAAACCTTTCTTTCCGCAATGGCCGTCTCGAAAATACCTGAAACAAAATAGTCATTAAGAAACCAAGAAGATATTTAAAAATTATGTAAGAATTACTTACATTCTTTACTGACTTTGTAACAGAGAATATTACAACAGGTAAGTCATATACATTCATTCATTTACAAATATAGTATTATAATTATTCTCTCATTATTATTATACATATAATAAATATTTTTTTAAATAAAATTACAATTTTAATGTGACAACATCACACATTTCCCAAACAAATAATAATATTAAATTAATATTCTCTGTTATTCCTTTCCTTAATATTAATATATTATCATATTATTCTATATTACAATATAAGCGTTAGTAGTAATATAATAATAATAACAAAGGAATAATATGATAATATAATATTTTTTCTTATTTAATTATTAAATTGATTACGCTTATATTATAAATATAAGCGTAATCAAGAGCCACCAATACACCAACCTATATATATAAAAATGAATCGCAAAATGTGTTGGTAAGCGCATAACTCAACAACGCCTCGACCAATTTGGCCAAATCTTTTTTTAAAATGTTCGTTGAAGTTCAAGGATGGTTTTTACGGCGAGAAAAATTAGAATTATTGCTGGAAAAACCCTAAAAATAGCCCTTTTCTTTTTCCCATACAAATGATTTGTAACTAAAACGTAGTCAATTTGAGCTTTATTGTTATGGTATAAAGTTCATATTAAATTACAAGCACTCACTGTTGTCTAAGCAATGTAGGTGTGTTCCTAACGTCAAAGATCATATCTATCAAAACAATGTGCGTGTGTGCGTTGGAGTACAGAATACATAGTTGGAGGAGTTTAATGTCGCGTTCCGAAACTCGCGTTTCTTTTGTATTAGTTTCGGCACGCGAGATAAAATACATCAGTTTCCACGTCATTACATGTATTGCCGGAACATTGATGAAAATACGCTCTGTAGTAGCAAAGCTGTTGGGTCCTAGATAGCTCATTGGTTAGAGCAGTCCCTGGATCGCGAATGGGTTCGAGTCCCATTCCGGGGTACAGGTAGATGGATTCTTCCAGCATTTTTCCTTGAGAATGTTTATATATTTTTTTAATTCGAATAGTTTACTTTTATAATGCTGTTGTGTGTAATGTGTTTTTATGATCATAAAAATCTCTTTTTTCTATATTTAATACTATTACTATTAATACATTGCAATAATAATTATGATTCACATGATTAACAATAAAGCGATTACTTACTTTTAAATTCTTATATATGTTTTATTTAATTATTTTTTATTCACAACGCCCTATCACCAGGGTGACGGTTCTGTTCAGGAGATTTTTTTAAATACGTAGGCAAAAAAACTGCCACATTACAAATCTTTTTGACAGGACGAAGTCTGTCGGGTCAGCTGTACTCATCGAAATATTTATTTGATACACATATTGCAATAGAGGTTTTCCATATATTTTTTTTAATAAACGGCGTCGCTATACACCCGCTGTGTTGAATATTTTCAAAAATATATATAACCAGTCTCATTTAAGATATGTAACGATGCCCTCGGTCCAGTCTTTCAAAGTTATAATGGAATAAAGGAACAGCATACATACATACATACATTAATCCTAAACACAGACTCCCTTTTAGGCAGTGTGAATGAGGAGAGGACTGTAATGTAAACAATTTAATATCTGATATACATTTTATAACAATGAATAACATAATGATCGGAACCGAACAATAAAAAACAAAGTAACAAGGAGTAAAAAAAAATACAAAATATAAATAAAACAAATTTTAAACAGTTTCATCGCGTTTGTATTTTGTTTTTTTTTTCGGACGTTTCGGACTCTTTACAGGTCCCGTGTTCACATAAGACTAAGGTGTTGATTGTTTTTTATTATAAGTAAAGCTACCTTTAAACTATTGGACCCATTCACAATACAAAAAATGTTATATTTCATAATAATAATATTCTTTATTGCACGCTAGACAGGACATAATACAGAGAAGATAGAAAAAAGATAAAGATTACAAAGGGCGACCTTATTGCTACGTAGCAATCTCTTCCAGGCAACCCGAGGCAAAGAAAAACATGAACTATAATAAAAAGAGGTAAATAGATAAATCTTTTATTTTAAAATACATTTATTTACCCCTGGCTACAGTAATCTACCACCACTTTTAACTAGAGACCCGATGAAACCGTTTAAAAGTTATACAATATATGAAAATATGACAAAGAAACTTATCAAAAAGGTCAGCGTCTTTCGAGCCAATCGCCAACAGCAGTCGTGTAAATATTATCTATTCGATATCAATCGCTACCAAATGTTATAGTAACATTGAAAGGTAAATTCTTGACCGGGTGGGTACGTTATGATTGATAAACAACGTTAAGTATAGAGCGACATAGATGGATGGTCCACTGACCGATTCATGCCCGGTCCATTGCATATTTATTGGA